TCTAGGTGAAAGTCAGTTTTCAAAATCTCTGAATGCCTGTCCTTTAAAATGGTATGGAGAGTACACAGTGAAGAAATCTGTAAGAAAACATACCAATACTAACTCCAGTTCAATTTGACAGAGCAGGTTTCAATTAATAATTGATATGAATTCATGAATTGTGAAGTCTCACAGTTAAATTTATTATCCTGAATGATTCTTAACAGATTTACAATTTTTCAAATCCATTACCTGTAATACTATAGCAAGGTTAATTATCTTCAAAACACCTTAACAAAATCATGGATAAATCTGTCAGAACTTACACTCAACTCTGAGCCATTTCAATCTTCTGCCAGAACTCTGAAACATGATGCAACTGCAATCAACCACCAGAGCCCTGTTTACATTCCAGAAACACCAACCCATGTAATCAACCCAATCCAGTTGCTTAATGTCATAAATAACCAGAGGTCAGCCATGGTTGTGTAAATTCTGCTCAACTCCTACTACGTTACAGTTTTACACAAGTATGAGGAGACACTGCTACTTGTTTCTTCACTGTAGGGCTCTGGAAGATGAAAAAGAAACACTTTCCAACAACTTGCAAGGTAAGGAGCTGTGAGGTGTGGATGAGCTGGGAATTGCTGCCCCAAGGCACTCCAAGGACCCAGAGCTGACTCCTGATAACAAGGGGCTCTGCACCAGAGACAAAGGCCCTGGGGCTGGTGCCTGTTCACTGGAGGAGTCTCAGATTTGGGTTCAGGTTGCAGTTAAGAATCTCCATCTCTGTGTGATTAAATACTTGGTATCTCTGCAAAGAAAGCTGATACACGATGTGCTGTGATGAAACTGTTGCAAAATGTACAATGCATTCTGGGAAGTCCACTTAACTAGTCATTTTGTATTCATATTCACTATGGCTGAACAGTTAACCACTGAGAGGAGCCCCTGGGACCAAAGCCTTCAACATAAACCCGCTGCTGTGCAAAAGCTGTAGGAGTCAGAATCCTCACCATTAAGCAGTATATGATTTTATGCCAGGCTAAGACCATCTAATGACCAGCTCCCAGCCATGTCCATCATCTGTCCAACTCCCCAGTAATCTGGTTCAGGGAGACAAGTAGGTAGAAAACCACCTCTACACCCAAGTCCTGGTGTAGAACCCGAGTTCTATAGATGTAAAGGCAATGGAAGAGATGTGTGACTGATGATGGGAAGAAGAGGGTTTAAAAGCTCCTTTTGACTGGGCACTAAACAGGGAATGGTTCCACTACCAGGCTGAAATGCACGAAAACCTACATGGAAGTCAAAGCTCAGTGGAGAGTTCATTCTGTCCAAAGAGAAGAGGTACAAGTGAAGACAGAACTGCACCAAACAATTAAGTTTGTTATGCTGCTCTGGAACCACAACCTGGAAATGCTTAGGCATTTATCCAGAAACCTTGCAAGCCCCATCTTGAAATATTTAATAAACAAGGTTAAAAAGCAGTCCATAGTGCTGGAACAGAAATATAGCAAGATGTTAACGTATCATACGCAGAGGACAAAATATAATAATAATCTCATCCACAGCCTTTCTCCTTTATTAAACAGCAATCCTCTGCTGACTCCATTTTATGTTTCTGGACTCTCTGCATCCTCTTTAAGCTGTCATTTCCCATTTCCAGTTCTCAGGTTCCTTACACCTTCCTGTTCTCATCAAGAGAGCAGCGCATTTTAAAACCTTGTCTTTAGCAAAGCTGCACATGCACAGCTTATAAGCAGACCTAAATTATAACTGCTACAGTAACTCTACTCCTCTTCCCTTTCCCCCCTCATCTGTCCCCATCACTTTTTGCAGACAGGCCCTTTTGTGTATTAGTAGGGTTAATGAGTTCATGATTCAGGCAAAACTGGTACTACAAAAAATGATCAGTTTTCTGCCAGATCAGCTGCTTGATACAGCTGATTGTGCAACAGAAGCCCGAGGAGAAGAGAAATGCAGCTGAAGATAAACACAGGGCTACACAGCCCTGACCCCAGCTACACACTCACTCTTGTGTGTCACATTATAAAGTAATAAGTGTAAGCTTTAAGCTCTGGTTTCATGACAGCCTAACCCCATTTAAGTGCTTGCTAACAAAGCTCTGCACTTCCTGCACCCGACTGGTGTATTCCTGCCCTCTCTCTAACCAGTTCTGGCAGCCTACCAAGCTGTTTCAGCACACTAAGCTAGTAGAAAACTGTTCATGTTTTATGGTTCAGTTAGTTTCCTGCCAGCTTAGGTATGGAAGGAAGTGGACAAAACTGCTGCACTGAGCAGTCTGACCAGCTTAGGCTGCTTTGAAACCACCACGTTACTTAGACCAATTCAAAGGCTGTGTTAACACCCGTGTCACAGATTAAACAATGCATGGTTTAGTTTAGCTTAAACTCAACTGGAATTGATTTATAGCAATTAAACTGCTTGTACCAAAACAAGAATGTTCATGAGGAGGTCTGCATCAGGCTAATTGGTTTTAAAGCAATTAAATGTATTTTCCTACAGCTTTCTTTAGACACAGCCTCACATGAGCTGCACAAACTGCAGCAGGGCAAGTCAGGTTACAGACTTGCAGCACATCCGCTTCTCTAGGCCAAGTGTGAAGTTACACAATAACAGGGATTGATCTCCTGCACAGGCTTCTCACACCAACAGAAAACCCAAACAAAGCACAAAGAGCTGTGTGCTGCCCTTCAGGTTTGTCTATAGAGTCAACTTCCTCATCTACATCCTTTCTAAAACACACAAAGCAAAACTCTGCACAAGATAATTGCTACGAGTGGAGACACTGCTGCCACCATCCCACTAGTTCAGAACTTTGTGGGCCAAAGTCTTTCTAAAGAGAAACGAAGGTGAGATTTCATAGGCAGCCAAATGCATCTAATAACCCCATTGCCTCTTATGCCAAAGTCTGTATTATCAAACTCTTTCACAAACAAACTGGTCACTACAACAGTAGAAAAATGCTTCAGTTTTTAAGTTGGTTAGAGAGTCCAGGTGGCTGGGATGTGATAGGTACCCCAGAGGAAGTGAGCAGTGGGAGTGCAGAGCTGGGAGCTTACCCCACTCAGCAGCAACCATTAAAGCAACAAAAACATTAACTTTCTGCTGGCTTAGAAAACTGAAATACAGAGAGAAGTAAACACCAAAAGCAGTCCAGTGATAGAGGCTAACATGCAAGACCAGAAGGACAGAAGGGAGAAAAGGACAAGACAAAGGGACAAAAGGAGGAACTGAATCTTTTGAGGTGCCGGATCATACCTACCATCTCATATAACTGTATCATGAGAACTGAAACCAGAAAATTTACTGTCTGTTCGGGCAAATAAGACCTGAATTCAATTTTATAACCACGATATCTACCCAGGCTACCCCATTAAAAAAAACAAAGGAATGCAGATGATCTGTGCCACACTGTCAAGACAACTCCCTCTGCATATTTGGAGTTAACTCGACTTATGACCCCTGTTTTAGAAATGTGAAGAGTAAGTGGGTTAAGTGCCAGAATTTTAAAAGGATGGTAGTAGCTATTGCTGCTGTTTTACAGAAAAGGTTTCCAAGTAAACTCAGCTGCAAGTACAGAAGGAGATGGACAGTGAATTACAGTGAACTGGAGTAAACAATTCCATGTGAGTGTTCCGACTGAAGGACTTTTCCATCTCCCCCTTCCAAATGACAGTGGGAATATTTACACTCATAGAGATGGTTACAAATTTAGCTTTCTTTATACTGAGAGATAAAACTTCATTTGCCTGTAGTAACTCATTCATAGGAAAAGCACCCGAAACCAGGACAGAAATTGTCAGACACCTGCAATTCCACCAAGTTTAATTCATGTCAGGAATGGATACATGAATGCCCATGAAATACATGCTGCTCAGGGGACCAGTTTCTGTGCAAACAGAAATGCTACTGTGATTATTTATCCTTAGAAAAAATAGGATTCCTTACTGTAGGAAATATTACCTTGTTATTTTTGCTGCTGCTACTGCTAGTACTTTTTTCTCCTGCATACAGAATCTAAAAGTACTTTAAAGGAAGCCATGATAAGTGAGATAATACAAGAGGTTGATGGTTTTTCATAGTTTAATCTTAGTTATTCATAAATCTGAAATAACACTGAAATATGTGTGTGTGTAGGTTTGATGTATAATGAAAATCAAGCAAAAATTGAAACACTTTCTAACATACAACAGTCATTGTAAAAAAATACAATGAATCTTCAGCCTTCACTCAAGAGCAGCTTCATGGCAGATGACACAGTCTCAGTATTCTGGTTTACAAACAGTTGTGTTGTAGAACCAAGATGAAATACTCCTCTTACTCACCTTTGGATCGAGTGGAGATGTCCATCCCCTCCACCACCTCCTGCTCTGCCTTTATTTCCTCTTCAGCCAAGCTGCAGGATTCAAAAAGCTGAATTAGAATACTTAAGAGACTGTATTGTTCTCATGTCTAACTTCCATCCATGAAGGTCAACATAACACTGTCAAACACAACTATATTAAAATTTCTGGTGAAATGAAAAGCCTGATGTTTGCCAAAGTATACATTGATCAAAACATGTTGAGAAACAATCCAGGTACATGTATACAACTGCAAGTTACCAATCACAAAAGTAACATTTTCATACTAAGGACAGTCTTGTAACACGTAGTGAAGATTATGGCACTGTACGTATAAATTGCATGTGTGCGACAGAAAAACAGGAATTCTGTTCCTTGGAGCTCCTAACCTAGGATAAACTATGTGGACAGATGCCTGCCAACATTTAAATGTTCATCAGCACTTATGAACAGATTAGCTGAAGTAACAGACTTAGCAACACAGAACAACTTGCAAAATTAGAAGCTAAAGTGCAATTTTAAACACTATTTCATAAATAATTTTAAGGATTTTGAAACCAGACTACATAACAGAAAACTGAATATTTATAATTTATTTGCAATACAATTCCACTAATTATTAACCATAACAAAGAGTAAACAGTACAGAGCTGTTACCACTCAACCTTAACACAGTCAGTGTTTATTTGCTCCGGGCAGGATTGAATTATTACAAACTACATCTCACATTCTGATGTTCTACTTTTATAGTGGTGCCATATAAAAAGGCAACTCACCGAATTTGACTAGTTAAGTCACTCTGGGGAAAGAAAGTGGAAGGGAGAGGAAAAGTGAATTAGAATGAAGATTGATTAACACACCAGTTTTGGAGATCTGACTATTGCAGACGTGAGGTAAAAGAAAACATACCATGTTGAAGCAAACCCAAATTCAAAATGATACACAAACGAGGTTCTGGTGCCTCAAGCAGGTATCACAGTGTCCACCAGAGCACAACAGCCATGGGGGATGCAGATCCTCTCCTCTACAGTGACAATTTACTGCTCAGCCTACCCATGGAAGTTGCTGCCCTTTTTGCACTGATAGGGCAGGTTATCCATTTCTGCTGCTATGGAGTGGACTGAGGTTCCATTCAGCCATCCCAGCTCCAGGGACACAGGCCAAGAGGAGAGCCAGAGACCTTGGCTTTAGCCACTGTGTATAAGTGTGCCTGGATCAGCTCATCAGAGCTCAGAAACAACAGTGAGGACTTGGTTATATTTACATCAGAGAAACTCTTCAGCCTGACAAACAGTTTATATTAGTAGGAGTTTTGTTAGGGCTATAAGTTAAAAGATATTCCTAAACAAAGTAAAACTTAATAGCAGAAGGACTTTTTAATCTGGTATTTGACAAAACTACTTCTAATTAACTATTAGCTACTGGGGGGTTGGGTTGCAACTCCTTTCACACTTCTAAAACGACACAGTTATGTCAGCAAAAATTTTAAATACAAATTAACCAAGCTCAATGTATGAAAATGCCAAAGCTCAGAAGATCCATGAATTCCAGAAATCATTACACTCTACTTGTCATTTGTATAGGGAAATAATTTACAAAGTCACAAAACACTGAAGGGAGGTTCTATTCTACCAGCATCCACCTCCCATCTCATGGACTACTCTGATCATTGCAGGAGCAAGGAAAGGCACCCATAGGACCAGAATGAGGGTAAATGTGTAGCACAGTTGACTGTAGCACAATGCTTCTCAGATTTATTTTGCATGGGCAGATTAAATGCATAACATAGCTGAGGTACTACAACGCTCACCCATTTACTATGCATGGGCAGATCAATTATCCTGCACATTTGTTACACCCTTTCCCAGGGGCCTCCAGCAAAGAAGAGCTGGCAGTGGGCTACAGACACCAAAACATTTCATGCACCACTTGCCTCTGCCCAGTCCTCTCCTAAGCAATGGGAAGGGACGGGCTCATGGGATGGGTTCATTGTTCTCTCCCAACGCTGCATTGGTTTTTTTTTCTTCCCCTCCCTCTTTATAAAATCCTATTTCAATATCACCAAATTGTAACAAACTCCCTATTTTTAAAACATCATGTATATATGATCAATAATGCATACAGGCAAACATGTAATCATACACAGGAATTCTGTCAAGAGTGAAGTAATTTGGCAGTGCACATTACCTGCTTCTAAAATACAGATCCAGTTTCAGACCCAGACTAGGACATACAAGTCTTTACAAGACTCAGGTTGAAGACTTATGATCATTTTACACTGGCTACTACTAAAAGGAATGGTTTGCCCAACCCTTAACTTCATGTTTCAAGAAATCCCATCTATTTTAACTGAGTCAGTTCTGTGATGTAGCTTACTGTGCAGCTGGACATGTGGGAAATGGGAGAGTACCACACATGAGGATGGAAGAAAAGGGCAACATCCTTTCAGCAGCAGCTGACATTTCAGCTACATTAAAGCAATCATATTATTCCAGACTCATCCAAATCCATCGAGCGCATCTTGTTCAAATCACAACCTCAGGGGAACATGATACAACAACAAAGATGCAGTAGTTGCTCCAAGTCAGTATTAAAATACACAGAGTTGTGCATGAATCCTGGATGAGAAATGGGAGTGATGGATCAACACAGCAACACCAGAGCAGGAACTGTTCCTGCTCCTCTGATCAAAGTACCAGGGAACTTACAGCCTGACTGAGGATGTTCTGTGCCCTGGGCCCAAACCCAGCCCTTCAGGGGTTACAGGGCAGGACTCCTACATATTAGTTACAGCACAGGAGGGGTTTTCAGCTCTAAATCTGTCTCTCCCCATATAAAGAGCCTAATCTAGGAACCTGAGCCATCACCATTTTGAGTGTTCTGGCAATGGATATATAAAGGCAAGAAAACCATTCCTCATGAACAGTTCCAAGATGAACAAAGTATCTTAACCACATCTCTGATACAATGAATCACAGAATGACAGAACGGTTTGGGTTGGAAGGGACCTTAAAGATCACCCGGTTCCAACTCCCCAGCCATGGTCAGGGATGCAAACATCACATCAAAGGTGCCTCAAGACGGCCTTCCCAAAGATCTGAAGTATAAATCAACACTTGAAGCATTCACCACTTGACACCAAGGGTCCCCATTTTCCTTAGCAATGGAGGAGCACATTCCCTACACACACGTGTGCACCCTGTGCATCACCCACAACTCACACCAAATCCAGCAATTACCTCCTGCACCACGAAAACTGAGCCTCAGAGGAACAGATGCACCTCCATATTCTCTGCTATAATTAATCTTTTAAGGGCACAAATACAAGAAAATCACAGAGATTGTTCTGAAAAAAAAAAATAATCAAAAAGTTGGGGAGGAACAGTGAAATAAGTGTGTTAGACATAGCTGTAAAAGATACTTCCCATTCACAGCTCTTCAAAAGCCATTGTTTTATTTGCTGTAATGTGTAATGACTTGCACAACATGACATTGTTTGAATGGTGGCAGTGATGACTGTAGTGGTCATCTTTGAAACTCAAGTTTGTAAATACATTATAAAGTTTACAGTAACTTTTCTAAACCTGCCAGATCTTTTCACCTTTGCACCTTACAAAGCACAAACTTTCCAATGCAGGTGTTTCATTAGTAAAAGATTTCCAATTAAATAATTCCAGAAAAACAGGTCCTTAATCAGAGGTACCTTACTATTACCCACAAGAAAATAAAAGGAAAATTAAGACCAGCAGCAAAATAATTATGAACAAACATATGGCTCTATGGAAACAGTAACTGTGTGATCAAGTAGACTCTTCTGGAGAGTTTTATTTTGAGAATTCATTTTTGCAGGGCTCAGAGCAGTTATTTCAGCCAGCATGCATTACTGTCATGCAAGTATGAATGTGATGGTCTGAGGCTGCAGACCAGAAATGATACTGGAATACACTCCATTAAGTACCCAGGTGAATACAATAAATTCCTTAAGTCATTCTGAAAGCTACTCTTAATTCCTAATTAAGATGAATGAACACAGAGGAACATGTTTTAAGAACACAACTGAAATTTAAGCTTTGCCAGTTTTCCTGTCAATTGAACAGAACACCAATTAATCATTTAAAACTTCCCTACTCATATTGACAAAACTTACAACAACAACAACAAAATTGTTTTCTACAATGTTAAACTAATTTGTTCCATACAAATTAGTTTAACATGCCTGAATGAGGGTAGAAGGGGTGGAGGTTATTCCTTTGGGGAGAGTTGGGCACAGAAAGAAAAAAAAAATAAGGATTGCAAACATACAAGACTTATTGATACTTACGTAAAAATGGAAAAATAACTTAGCTGCCTAACTTTTAAATATGTTCTCTACTAAACTGAAGAGAGGGTAGAGTTTTTTAGTATAAAATTCAGTTTTTCAAATTTCACACCACTAAACAAAATACTGACTTCTCTGTTTAGGAAAATCATTCCTTTACTAACAGTAGTACTTACCTGAAAAAATGTCCATATGCAAGAATATTTAAAGCTGCTCTAACCTATATTAACTACAAAGAGCAATTAAAAGTTGCAGATGAACTACTGCACCTTGACATTTAACCAAGAAAAACTGACAGATATGGAAAACCACTCGAAACAGCTAATGCCCATATACACAATCCAGATCTACATCAGGGAATAACACATTAATTTCAAATCAAGAACTATGTATTTATGGAATTAATTTCCTTTTCATGAACAGAAAACAAAACAAAACAAAAAAACCTGATGTAAGACCATAAGCACTAAAACTGAATTTCACCCTTAAGATAATTCCTGCCTCTCCTACATCACATCTGTGAGCAGCAATTCTAACTAATGATTTCAAAAAAAAAAAAAAAAAAAAACTTGCATTCAATAAAAATTTGAGAGAAAAAAAAAAAGAATATATATTAGCATGCCATTGCTGAATAAATAGCAGCTTTGTATAAGCACTCACCTATAACAGTCTCTTACTCATCGGTAGCTATGCTATTTATGCAGGGTTCTTAAAATGGCGTCTGCCAGCACTGCA